ATGGACGCCCAACGATAACAATGTACAACCCACGACAACTCATGGACGCCCAACGTAGGATAACAATGCCTATAACAACACATGGACGCCCAACGATAACAATGCCTATAACAACACATGGACGCCCAACTTAGGATAACAATGCCTATAACAACCCACGATAACAACACTCATCGACGCCCAACTTAGGATAACAATGAACAACCCACGATAACAACACTCATGGACGCCCAACTTAGGATAAACAACCTATAACAACCCACGATAACAACTCATCGACGCCCAACTTAGGATAACAATGCCTATAACAACCCACGATAACAACACTCATGGACGCCCAACTTAGGATAATAACACCTATAACAACCCACGATAACAACTCATCGACGCCCAACACAATGCCTATAACAACCCACGATAACAACACTCATGGACGCCCAACTTAGGATAATAACACCTATAACAACCCACGATAACAACACTCATGGACGCCCAACTTAGGATAACAATGATAACAACACTCATGGACGCCCAACTTAGGATAACAATGCCTATAACAACCCACGATGGACGCCCAACTTAGGATAATCTATAACAACCCACGATAACAACTCATCGACGCCCACGATAACAACACTCATGGACGCCCACAGCCTGTACTCATAGACCCGGCACACACATGCTATGCTGAAGTAGCCAGCCCCTTGGCGTACGCAGAGCATCATGATGGCCATACACTGCTGTTCATCGATTAGTTGCCTATCCAGAGATCCTTTAATGCTTGAATTTGCAAAAATATACTAGTTAAGTTGCAATCCCGATGGCAGTATGTATTTTCACCTCGTCTTGGATATTATTGTTCTTTTTATATGCCCTTCTCTCATCTGTTTTCGCTTAACACTGCATTCCCTTTTTTTTTTTACCCAGTCCCAGTGGGAAGGAAACTCGAAACAAGCAATTTCTCGTTATGACATCCCATGACATCCACGCTCGGCTCAGATTTCCGTTTCAGAAACCAAACAGTGACAGCGCAAAGGCGACCGGATAATGCAACCAACTGCAATTCGCCCTCAGATTGCATGGATCCCAATATAAATCAGCAGCGAACAGAATATTCCCGCTGCTTTATTCTCTCGCTGGCAACTGTTTCGCCATCGACAACAGGTGGGAAATCCCGGCACTAGATGGCAGCAAAAAAAAAAAAAAAAAAAAAAAAAAAAAAAAAAGAGGAGGAGCAAATCTGGGCCTTAAGGTCTTGCAGAAAGAGGTTTAGCATTCACGTTCGCTGCCGCTGCAATGTGTTATGTCGAAGGAGGCTTCTTAGCGCTGTTGTTGCTGGCTTTTTATCGGTATCATTTTTGCCTTCGTGTTTGTTGCTGTTACTTTTACCCTTATTTGTTATTGTCATTATTTTTGTTGTTGTTACCAATGTCTACATAACTAATTTTGTTAGTTTATTATCATTTTCATCATCGTTCTGACGGAAAAAAAACACATAAACCGGATTTTAGAATCTCCCAGAACTGGTACCTGAGTGTAGTGTTTATTTTATTTTTATTTTTTTTTTTTTTTTATAAAGGCAGAGGAATGTGTCCTTATTCTTTATTATCACTTTTTCTACTTTTTCGTCATCGTTATCTTCGTCATCTTTTCCATAAACATATCTAAATATTATTGTCGTTAGTGTTATCATCATCATTATTATTAACCTCATTTTTATCTTAATGCTATCATCATTGCCTGCTGTGGTAATAACATTGAAATATCATTGTTTTTGCAGTTCATGTAACTATTATCATTATCTTGCCTTCACCCTCCTTTTTCATCATCGTTGTCATTATCATGACCATCATTAGATTTATCTTCATCGTTATCATCTTTATTATTATTATAATAAAATAATGATAATAATAATAATGTTATTATTATTGTCATTATTATTATTATCATTATCATTATTATTATTATTATTATTATTATCATATTATTTATTATCATTATTATTACTATTATCATTATTATCATTATTACTATTATTATTATGTCATTATCATCATTATCATCATCATTATTGTTATTAGTATTATTACCATTATAATTACTGTTATTATTATCATTATTATTATCATTATTATTATTAATATTATTATAATTTTTATCATTATCATTATTGATGGTGGCGTTGCTGTGTATGTAAATGTCATCACCACCGCCATAATCATTATTATTTTTTTATTGTTATCATTTGTTATTTCTCATCATTATTATTGTTGTAACGAAGATTAAAACTGCTACACTCTGACATGTTTCACCTAATGACAGATAAGTACCTGATTTTAAACAGTGTGTTTCTGAATTTATTTTCATTTACAGATATAAAACAACAAAACATAACTAATCTATTCTAACCTCCAGGTAAACAGTCACAGTACTTTCGTTTGTTTAGAAAAAAATGTTTGGTCTTTATACTTCTTGACTATAAAAGACATTATTGAAAACACTGAAATGCAGCAGAACAAAAAACATACAAAATATGGAATAAAAAATTGCTATTCTAGAAGCTTCTCTAAATGGATATGAACTATATGCCTCACCTTGCAAAACTGACATTGCACCCTGGGCATCTGATTTTTTTTTTTTCGATTATTTTAATGGCGTCTCGTCCTTGGTCTAACTCGACCTGTCACCTTGAACTTGACAGAGATCGCCGCACCAGTTTTGCTTCAAACAGAAAGGAATTTAAGTCACGCCTTAAGCTGATGACACGTTGGAAGGAAATGCCCGTAGGATGGTACACAGAGTTTTTCTTTCTTGTTTTCTTGAGGCCTGAAAAAGGTCTCTCTGTAGTCTCATGCCCAGAGGCAACAAAGCCTAGCGGTAACTACTGCCCTACATACAAAGTGCGGTGGTACCATCGTTTATCACAGATCGACACGGAAATAAATCTACGTCACGATTCTAAAATCTATCACACTAATTACTTCCATCGTTGTACAAGGAATCAGTGAAGGACTGGCCACGTCCTGCGGTTCTGGGAATTCGGCCAGTAGTACAGCTCCTTCAGAAGGCTCGGCCAGAAGCCCTGTTGCGGCGGCGGCGGCGGAGGCGGTCGCGAGGACCCTTCGCCGTCCGTCGCGTTGGACGGCCCCGGGGACACGTAGGGCCACACGGCGTCCGTCGAGGCTTCCCCGGATGCGACGGACTCTGTGGCAGAGGAAGGGTCCGCGCTGTCCGAGGACTCTGGCGACGGCGAGGACACGACCCACGTACGTAAGGTAGTGTCCTGCAAAGCCCCGTCGCCGGCCAGTGCCCCGAGAGCGAAGGGAGGCGCGCCGGGCGGTTCCTCTTCGGCGTCGTGAGGATCCAACACCGACAGCTTCAGCTTCATCGTGCCGACGTGCCCTTCGGGGGACGGCCTGCTCGAGGAGCCGATCTCGTTCGACAGGATGTTCTCCTGAGACGTTGAATTCCTTTCACTTTCAAGGTCTATTGCTTGAGGCTTTTGGCTTGTGGGGTTTCTTTCTGGACCTGAAGATCCTGCGTCTTCCGGCCCCTGCGAGACGTAGTCCTCATCCATGAAGGCATAGTCTAAGGGGAACTGCCCAGTGGTCTTCGGCGTCTGGTCTTGAACGCCGACCGTCACTGCCGGAGAAGGGCCGGGAGGCTTAACCATCTCCAGTAGGCTGCTACCCCAGGGCGCAGACGGGCGAGGCGGCCGCCCCTCCCCCGGTGCGAATCTCGGGGGCTGAAGCTGTGTCGGAGGCACAAGGAATTTTATGAGGTTGATGAGGTCCACCAAGCTGTCCTCGCCCCCGGACTGCTGAGCGCCTTCGGTCGCGTTGCCCCCCGGCTTCCCCAGCTGGAAGGGCCGGTTCCCCTTGCGGTAGAACCCTGGCAGAAGTTGCGGGTAACCTTCAGACGCGTCAGGAGAGGAGGCTGACGGAAGATTATCTAGCTCATTAAACTCAACCCCAATTTCCCCGCCATCGAGGTTGGTTGAATTTGCCGCGGGGTTCTCGGGGTCACGGCTGCCTTCAGGTTCCACCAAGCGATTGGGCTTATAGTGCGACGACGCCCCGATGTTGGGCTGCAGAGGCCGGAGGGGCTTAACCTTAGGATACGGAGGAGGCCGCCTGTTGACAGGTCTGAAGGGCCTGATGATGGGTCTCTTCCCGTAGGGGGGTCGGAAAGGGCGCCTCTGAGAACCAGGGGGCTGGACATACACCCAGGACCCGGGGTAAGGGGGCCCCACGGAGTGGTGCGGGAGAGGATGCGCAATGGGGGGACGACCTGTTACCACGGCGGCCTGCTGGGTCCCGTTCGTGGCCTCGATAGCATTCTCTGAGGATTCTGAGGGAGGCTGCGGTGGCGAAAGACGTGCTGGCAGAGGTCGGTAAATAACTGGACGAGGAGTTGGCGGGTAGGTGTTCGAGGGCGTCGTCGTTGGGAGGGTGGGGAAGGTCGTCGCTGAGAAAGCCGAGAAGGTGTTCGTTAGAAAAGCTGGGAAAGTCGTCGTTGGGAGAACCGAGGAGTTCGTCGCTGGGAAAGGCGAGAAGGCCTTCGTTGGGAGGGCCGAGAAGGTCGTCGTTGGGAGGGCCGAGGAGGTCGTCGTTGGGAGGGCCGACGAGGTCGTCGCTGGGAACGCCGAGAAAGTTGTCGCTGGGAGTGCCGAAGAGAACGTCGCTGGGAAAGTTGAAAAGGTCGTCGTCGGGGCGGATGATGGTGTCGACGACGGGGCTAAAGTCGTCAGGTCTTCAGGAGATTCCGTGGACCGCGCTGAGGCCTCTGAGAATAGGATGGTCGGTTGAGGAGGCGGTCGGGACGCGACTACAGGCCGGGCTGTTTGCGCGGTGACGAACAAGGCCCAAGGGTTGTCCGGGATGAGGAATGCCGAGGGCGAAGTGGGCTGGTCCTCGGCAGACGGTCGGGAGTCCCTCGGAGGCAAAATCGATGGGCGCGGCGTCTGTGAGAGTGGTGGCAAAGATGAAGGACTGGAGGAG